TTTTTTTTTTTTTTTTTTTTTTTTCCCCAATTCTGTTTTAAACTAAATACATTGTAGGTCAGCCATTCACAACTCTCAGAATCAGGTGCCAGCAGATACTGAAGTAACACCTGAGTGATTTTTTTTTCTAATTTATTTGATTTCACAGGGTTAAATAACTCCTATGGTGTTTGGGAAAAAGAATTAAAGAGTTATTTAAGTGACTGGGTTTTTTGTTTGTTTGTTTGTTTTTTGTGAAGAGATCTTTTCATTCCAGCTATATTATTCTTCAGCTTTGTAAGCATCTTTACTTCCATTTTTAACTGGTTAATTTTCCTCTACTTAAAATTTTTGCGCCATGAATACAAATTGCATTCAAAGAAGGATGAGAACATTAGAGTTATTCTGCCCGACCTTCTTTCCTGTATATTTTGCAATTTCTTTAAATGCTCTAGTATTGGATTATCACTTTACAAACATTAATTTCTGTAAAACACATACTCTGTGCTGTCATTTCTGAATAGAGTTTATAGGTTTCTGTTCTCTATAATTCTCCTTTTATATCCCTTTAATTATAGTCATTTTCTAACTTGCTGACCACTGGAGTAGCAAAGCTCCTTTCAGCTATTCTCAGCCTATGATAAGGAGAAATTCCAACAACTTTATGTAGGACCCAGCCCTTCTTCAGTTAAAGAGCAGCTGACGCCACACAAAAAACATTCTATATATCATTTGATCTATTTTTGGCTCATGTATTTTCTGCAGTTCTCCTTTCTGCTTTCTTGCAAGCACACTGAAGTAGACTCTTTTAAAAAGACAGCTTCAGTGATGCTAATTTTGCATCTGCAATCAGACTCCTGAGTTTACCCTATCCTAACTGGTCATGGCAAGAACAAGAACATGATGGATCACTCCCAAAACAAAACTGCTTGTGAGAAATGAATTGGAACATCATGGTACTGCTCTGAATCACAGGAGCAACCACATGGGGTCAAACCATCCAAAGAATCTAGGTGGGCTTCCCCCACAGGGAACCCCCAGGTTTGTCTTTTTGGTGGGTATGGAGTCTGGCAATAAATCAGCTATTGATCTAAATGGGTTTTCTTAAGCAAAGATTGGGAGACCAGAGAAAAAGGAGGAAGGGTTTCTGCATTTGCCCTGTTAATGACAGGAGTGCTTTGTTGAGATGACATATGCAGAATATAATCGGTTTATCATCTAGGTAATATCATACATTGTATTGCACAACAAAATAGTGCACTTGCTGTATTTGTGTGTACACATACAAATCCTCCTCCTGAGCTTAGTTTTTGTCAAAAGGATTTCCTAGTCTTTAAGTGTTCTTTTGTTACATTTTTTATGGGTTAGTGCAATCAATATGTAAATTAAACCCAGTTAAAACCTCCTAACTGTTCTTCTTCAGGGTTCGTACTCCTTAGATCAAATACCTCTTTTCTTTACAAACAATGTTAGTTCTGGAGCAGAACTAACAAAGAACCCGTAGAAAAGTTTTCTAAAGGCAACTCTTGCCTATAAACACGGAAAGAATTGGGACACTAAAACTATGACACTAAATAAAACAAGTCCAAGGGCTCTCATCAAAGAGACCATGGCTAGACCGAAGACATGGCTGTGTCCACACTGCATCCTGGCTCTTGAGTGATCCTGAAGTGGAACAAAGAGAGGGCCATACTGCAGCTCACTAAGGAGCATTTTCACAATACTAGATTAGGATTCATATTCCCTATCCTTGCTTATGGCATGATGCATATCAGGGTACAGAAAGGCGCAAGGCCAGCTCCGTCTGGTGAAGAGACCCAAACCTGATGTAGCATCTCCAAATCCAAATGAGGAATGGTCCATGGCACATGTTATCCACTTTATTCATGCTCATTTTGTCCATGAGCACTAGCTTGCACTGACCAAGATGATGCCAGGGCCTCTGAGAAGGCTGATGTGATTGAGGCTGCTTTCTGTTGCTGCCATATTCTTTGGCATGGACTCAATCTGCTGCTTCCAGTAGGACTGAAGGGGCCAGCTGTCCCAGCCCATGGTGCTGATAGGGAATGACGACACTGAGCCAAGCTGATAGCGAGCTCAGGACAGTCCTTCTCATACTGAGCCCCATCTCTGCCTCTCTGATCCTATGGCAAAATGTGAGATGACCATGGACAGAGTCAAAGGCCAGCTTCTCTCCACAGTGAACCACCTCAGATCATGGATCAACCCAGTAAGTTAACATATTAATACTAAAAGTTACCTCAGTTTCCCGAAATCTTTTTAGTCTTGGACAAGTGGGAGAGAAAGCTGTCTGTGCTTTTTGGATTGATCTTCTTGCTTCTGCTTCTAGTTTTGTTTCAGGTCGTGGATGATCATGAGCCCCTTTGGACTTTAGAAAGGAATTGTGACATGTTAAACTTAAAAGCAAAACCTTGATATTGATCTTAAGGGATTGTAGCATGACCCAAGAATGATTACATAGGCTGGATTAATATTTTTTTATTTAATGAGACATACTTAATGTCAGCTCAACTCACAAACATGTCTAAGATGAAGTCTGATAGGGCAAAAAATTTAAGAAATCTTGAAAACAGTGCAGCACATATGCATGTATGCATAAGAAGGCCCCGACATTAGAGATCCAGTTGAAGCCATTTGAACCCTAGCTACAGTATCCCTGCACAATTGGTTCCCTCATTTCAAGCTTCAGTCAGTGTTTTTCAGGAAACTAATCTCCATTAGATTCTATGGAAAATTAATTTTGTTTAACCTGCATGTAACTGAAAGACCATCATAAAATATCAGTACTGTTGCCTAGCTCCTAAGGAGGTCTAATCTCCTGGAAAGCAGGAGACAATCCAGTGTTTAGACAAACTAGGACTACACCTTCCAAAACCAGTGCACATTATCCAAACATCTGAGTACATTGTTTCCAGGTAAATGTTGCACATATGTGTGTATGGTTTTTTTCCTATGGGCTATTCCCCAGTACAACCATTTCCTGCTCTAAGATATCTTCATACCTCTATGTGGCGCCCTGCAGAAGGGGTTAACATAACATGGCATTTCTGATCCTCTGAGGATCTGCTAGTTCCTATGTGCTTATGTCCAGTCATAGAAGCGGAGACTAACTTGTGTTTGAAGAGACCTCTTGAGCATTCAGCCTCGTACTCAAGTAGGGTTAGCTTCAAAGTTTGATCAGGTGTTCAGGACCTTGACCACTTGTTGTTAACTATTTTCTCCTTGAAATTGGTTAACTTGGTCACTTGGTCACTTTTGTCACAATGATCCTTTGTAGGAGCAAACAATTGCCTTCTCTTGCTCTAAAAAGCATAGCCTTTATAACGTATAGTCTTTATAATTTTAAAATTAATTTGCATAAGATAAGGTAAATTTTTCTGACCTGAAAGAATATTAATTGGCCTTCATGCCTCCAGAAGTTGGTAACTGGGTAACCGCCATGGCCTCGGCAGGAAATGAGCTGCAAGGGTCCACTGCAGTTTGGACAGCATCTCCCTGCAACACAGTAGTAATACAGAAATATTTTCTATGCAGTATCAAGTCAGGTAAGTTCCAGCTGATACAACGATTTGTGTGTAATGGATTGCTGCTCTTTTGTTTCTGGATTAAAAAACTACACTGAGAAAAAACTATGCAAAAAACTTTCAAACACATGAAAAATAGGCCTATTAATTAATTTATTTATTTATCTATTTATTTATTTATTTATTTATAGCTTGGAAATGTCTGGTATGTCAAATATATTGTCAAATTTTTCTACAGCATCCATTTCTGATCCCAGTGAGATCCTGATTAAAGTCTTTCTTCAAAATGTGCATCAGTTCCAGAAATTAATATGCACTAAATTTAATCAACCATCAAAAAGTACTTTGGAACAGTCTCATTAAAATGTCTATCCATCTCCTTTACTCTGCTTGCATAGTGTTGTCTCTTGCAAAATCACTATTGAGTCTACTTTCCACTCATCATAGTTCATGAGCAACATCTTCCCTGCAAAACTTTCCTGAGTTCCTTGTGAGCCCCTAAAATGATGACATCAACACCCAGGCCAGCATGAGGAGCACAGCAGAATACTCCCTCCATGCCCCTCTTCCTTGGTAGCCTTATTAATGGGTCTGGGAAGGCCAGGAGCCAGAGGCACACAGGAGTTTCTGTGAACTTGGCTGCAAAAATACATTCTGATAGACTGAATTCCAGCAAAGACAGCAACCAAGCAAGCCCCTCAACAGCAATAAATGTTGAATGAGTTGCTCCAAAATTCAGAGCTGTGTTTGACTATAGGGAATGGTAGAAAAAAGGCTGGTTAGTTCAATGACTCTTCTCTACTTCAATGTCTTTTATGTAGCATCCACTTATTAACTATCACATAATAAAGAACCCAAGTCTGGTCTTTGTAGTATTACTTACTCTGTTGTTTTTGCCGAGCTTTGTCACATATGGCTGGTCTTAGGTAGATCTTCCTCCCATCCAGAGTTGAGCAGTCATTGCCACAAACCACCACCCCAAGGCAGGACTTTTTTAAGATACGAGAGTTATGGTTGTTGGTGTTTCTCATTGCCCAGCTACTATGGTGCCGCTGAGCATTTTTATCCTCAGAGCTATAGATATGTTTTACATAGGAGTCTGGCCATTCTTGAAACCAGTCCGTGTGTTTCACATCCTGTTAAGAGACCGGAGGAAGCCACGTTTTAGCCTGGGAGAAACTACAGCTTATGTGTGAGCATAATGGTCCTGGTCCACCTTTGGATCCAGAAGACTTGGCCAACCGGCTGCTCTCACTCTCTCCAGTCCAGAGCCATCCCAGCAGAGGAAGGTGGGGCTGTTGACGCAAAACTGCACATACTTTCCTTGCACGCAGCAATCACTAGTTGACTAACTTCTATTACCTTTCATGGCAAAGATCCTGCTTTGATGTTCTGACCGTTAACACCAGTGTTAAACTGAATCATTTGGCTGGACTCACTGTGGAAAAAGGACATACACTACATCAGATTGAGCCTACTGCCAATTGGTATGTCGCCAGGTCTAGGATTTTGGTTGCTTTTGGCTTACGTGCTATGGAAGATTTCCACAGCAATTTTTAGGAAGTCCAAAATAAAGAACATCTTGATCAGGTTTTATTTTCCTTATTATGGATGAATCAACCAATACTTTTAATAAATATTCTGAAGAGCAGTAAAAATAAAACTTCATGAAAAAAAAAAGGACCAAAGGTTGACTACACATCATCTCAAAGGCACAGTCACATCACAGTTCATGAGTAAAATGCACTAAGTTATAAAGCCTGAAAGACACTCTCTGGTTGTTTTTGAAGGAAAAAAAGGCTAGTGGTAACAGGGATACAAAAGACTTAGAAGGACCTCCCTGAAATTGCAGATCCTGGCCACCTCAAGCCACTATGACGAAGGGACTATGAAGAGAAAAACTGTGTTTTTAAGAAGAGAAAAGACTGTGTTGCCTCTGCTCATGTGGGAACCACCTGAGAGGGCAGGAAGGGTGTGGGGAACCTCCAGGCTGAAGTTCAGAGGAAGGTCACCTTGGAGTGGAGGGCAGCAAAGGAGGCAGCTCGGGACAGGGAGGCTCTGGGTGCACAAAAGTGACTTAGCACGGAAGAGACCGGGATCGGTCATATATAAACATGGTGTGGTGAGGGACACGGGCAGGAAGCTGGGGTTTAGGTTTTCAGTGGTGGACATGGATGAGATTTGAATAGAGAGAGCTAGAAAACGACTGAGGGAAGGAAAAGTCACTATTCTGCTCTGTCAGCATCCACAGACTTCCACAGACCACATGAAGCTGACGTTTCCTTGTCTTTATGTAGCCCAGATTGCCTGGACTCCCATTTGGAGCCAGGCTTAGCACCAGGTGCAATGCAGCTCGTGGGTTTTGCGCTTGTTTCCTGCACATTTCCAACTGCATTATCTCCAGCACAGGAGACAATTATTTTCCCTGCTTTCTCTCCATCTCATCTACCAGTGGACTAGAAAGGTAATGAACCTGCAGCATAAATATTTTTAATGTATAAGCAGTTCTTGGAATAATACACTTACATAAAAATGCCCAGGAAGCTCAACATTTTGCAAGATGTTGTCTAACTCTTCAGCAAAACRCTGTGCCATTGTTCAGGGTGGCAAAGAGAGTAAAGACAGTGAGGTATAGAGCACTGAGAGAGTACTGAAGAGCAGCAGCCAAGTGGAGAAGCCAGGGCAGGACTTGCTGAATTTCTAAGATATAGACACGTACCTGGGGAAGTTTGATGTCATTGATATCCCAACTTGCCATTTCTCCATTTTGGGAAGCAGAGTCCTCCTGTTCCATAGCAACATCATCTGCACCTTTCAGCATATTTGAATTCCTTCCCAAACTTAGCAAGAAAATCTCTGCTGGCCACTTTTGAAGTTGACTGGCTGTGAGCACTCCTGAGCAGTTTACAACCAGGAAGCTGGTTCCTGAAGCGAAATGATAGAGAGGCTGCTCATTACAGATAAAAATCAGTGTTCTTCTGCCAGAAAAACTTGTTCCATTAAAGGTTTTGCAAGCCAACAATGCAGTGGAAAATATAGCTTAGAGACAGGATGGGATCTTACAGAGGCATCAGTAAAGGCAAGCAAATCGTGCCCGTGTCATCTGCCTGTTTTTGCTCATTCTCCTGTCACACTGGGTTTATAGCCTTGTAATTCTGCTGACAGGCTCCTTATATGTGTGATTAGGCTCAGACTCACTATTTCCAGAGCTCTGTAGCTCCTAGGGGCTCCTTCAGTCGCTGTGCCCCCTTTGTGCTACATCCACCAAAGCAGGGGCTGTTCTACCATGTCAGATGAAATGGCTCTTACACCCCCTTCCAAGAAGTGCTGATATCTCTGAGAGCTTATGAGCTGTGTGAGCCATGGGAAGTGTAAAAAGGAGGTTGGGTGCTTGCATTTTCATATCTCAACAGTCAACTGAAAGGGGGAAAAAAAAAAAAAGACTGGTAGGGGTTGTTAAAACTGACAGTTCCCCTCTGAGGTCTCGTAAAGTGGGCGGTTGCCTTGTGCTGAATTTCAGCATCAGCTATTTTCAGGGATCACAGACAYAAAAATGCTTAAGGAGTTGTTTCCTTTGGTGGGAATCTCTATTACTGAGAGAAAGGGTGAATCTGAAAATGAATGGGCCAGTTTTCTTCTTCTGGAAGGCAGAAAGGCTGCTGTGATTTCAGAGAGGTCCCTGTAATCTGCACCCACTGAGGATGTGCTGAAGGCAACAGAGGAAGAGAAGAAATAAAATGTGACAGATTGCACACTTAGCAATGTGAAACGTGGCTACTTCAAAAGCAACCGAGTCACAACAGGATCAAAGAAGATGTCAGAATATGGGAAATGGGAGAGTATAGGAGAAGGGAACAACACTGCTTTGAAACACACATATCTGTAAAAAAAYCCAGGTCTTCATATATTTTCGTTTGTACTTACAGTGAAAATGAAGATAGGAAAGTCAGGAGAAAACAAAGTGAGCTGCACTGGGAAGAGGAGTTGAATGTACTAAACAAATAACCCTTGACTATTACTCACTCTAAAACATGAAAATGATTTGTCATGTAATTCAGACTGGCAGCCCCATTGCTTTTAAAACTGTGTTCCAAAAGGAGTTGGCTCAGAAATTGATTTTTTATTTCCTTCTTCTTAAAGAAAAATTTAATAATTTACTACAGTTCATTTCCTCTTTTATTTTAAATTGATAAAGATGAAACAAAAAAAACATTAGTTTAAAGTTTAATGAAAGATATATTTAATTTTAGAGAAATATATCTAAAAAACAAAGTTTTAAGCATTGTGTCATCAAATAATACAAATTTAGCTCCTTGTTGCTAAGGAGCTAAATGCTCCTAATGATGGTAAATGCTTGCCAATGGCAAAATCTTCAACTTATAATAACATGATGGTGTGGTGTATTACATCTTTGACTATTATGTGTATAGTTTTAACTACTGAAGTGTAAAACAGCTTTACAAACTTTGAGGTCTGKTTTTTTTTTCCCTTTTTTCCTATTCTTTCTTTTATTTTTTTCCCTCTTTACTCCACTCTGCTCCTCTTCCGAAACCTTGGGATGCCCCTTCCATGGGCTTCACTCCAGCAATGTGTGGCAGGAGCCAGGAGCTCTTCCTAAACCCCCAAGCTACCTCTCCCTTCTCATACACCCAGCTGATATGTAACAAAGGAGTAAGATCAAGGTGAATCAGTAACTGAGTAATTCAAAGTTGATGGAAACCTGTTCTACTTTTATCTTTATTTTTTCTGCTCCTGCCCTCCCAGTTGGTTTTATCATTTATTTATGGTATGGTTAATGGATGTTCACTGGTGTAACTGGAAAGGTTTGAGAATAGGTGGTTGAAAAGGAAAAGGTGCACATAGGAAAGTACTATCAAGAAATCAGACATGCCAGAGGAATAAATGCATCAAATTCTATACTTTATAGTATATACATATACAAAAGCACATAAAAATACATAAGCAGCTGTGGTAGTTCTTTCTGACCCTGAAACTGAGGATTACGCAGGTCCTCTGACCACTTCAATTGAATAGTATTCCTCCCAACTAATTCCTACAGTTATCTGAAAGATAGGTGTCCAATGCAAGCATGCTGTGGAAGCTCCCTCTATATATAATGTACATTTATGTACTTGTAGAGGCAAATCATTCCCATGGTCCTGGCCAGGTCAGATAGGGGAGCTAACTCTTTAGAAGCATGTCTTTCTTCACTGACTTTCAAAGGAGCCAACAGAACTAATTGACATTATATGACATTAAACAGTTAAAAAGAMAAACAACAACAAAAAAAATGTTAAAAGTGTGAAGGGAACCACAACCTCCAAAGACTGGACACAAACTGAGACTCAGGAAAGTCCWTCTGAACACGAGGCAAAAATTCTTGACTACGGGTGACAGAGCACTGAAACAGGTTGCCCAGGGAGGTTGTGGAATCTCCCTCTCCAGAGCTGCTCAAAACCTGCCTGGAAGTGATCCTGCGCAACATGCTCTAGGTGTCCCTGCTTGTGCAGGCCAGCAGGACTAGATGATCTCCAAGGGTCCCTGCCACCCTCAGCCATCTGTGATTCCATGGAGGCATAAATATGACATAAAAAGCCTAGAGCCATAAAGTGACAACAGCTGTCAAATTCAAACTGAGGGAAAYGAATGTATTTTTTACTCACTATTTAGTTAATACTCATTGGCCTAATGAAAGTTTTTTTCCTCTTCCTGCAAGCCTTGCCCACTTCCTTCTTCAGATCCCTGTATTAAAACATTACCATTGTATTGCTGTACTCTGTAATGAAGGTTGAAAATTAGACAAGATAACTGAAATATATTTGAAGCACTCATATTTAATACTTTATATCTGTGCAATATCTAAAATATATTAAATCCAAGTTAGGAAGAGTTACAAGCTTCATATMCGTGCCTTACGGCAATTTTTAACTAGCAAAAATTAGGAAGGTTTCTACAACTTTCTTTACAAGTACCTGGTGTTGGTCACTATTAGAAATAAGAATATGGATTATAAAAGAGATTGTGTATTACTAATTTAGGTGATTGCAAATATTAAATTAATTCAGTGTAAATCTGCAAACTCTAATTTGGAAGGACAGCCATTCAAACCATAACCAGGAAAAAAAAAAAAAAAAACACGATTCTTTAGTAGTCATCAGAGATCTTGGGCTGGCAAAAAAAGGCGATTTGGAGCCCTACCAAGGTTCTTGCTTTCAGGTTGACATTTCAGAGAACAGTATGTGACATTGCAAAACAGTTCCTTGCGAAAGCAGTTTCCTCTCCGCAGAAGCTGACTGCGGCTGCCTGTTGTTCAGGTGCCAGGCTGTGAGGAAAGGCAAGGACACGTGGCTGCAGGCCAGGGGGGTCTCAGGATCAGCCTCCTCGCTTGTATTGTTCACTGCTCTGCAAAGTGGTTCCTTCTGTCAGTGCTATCATCTGTCTGCTTTTTCCCCTCCTTGGTGTCATCTTTCAGTTGATGGCAACCTTTACCTGATTTCTGATGCAGCCTGCAGCCCTTTACAGGGCCCAAGTTGACTGGTTGTCTTTGGCCGACACACAAGTCTGCATGTGGATGCTGGTATCTTAGGTCAACATAAGGTTATATCAGAGGYAGGCAAGCAATGAGGTGAGACTCATTCTTCAAACTCTGACTTTTATTTCGGGGAGGGCAGAGATTGCGCACAGCAGCACTTGCCTCCCTGGAGCAAAACCCTCCTGTTTCAGTCCTGTGTCTTCAGCCTTTTCCTTTCCAACCACAGTCACCGCCCTCATCAATCCCCTTCCAAAAGCCAAGTCTCCGTGACCTGATGTGCACCCATATGAAATCTACCCTTAAGGAAATGATGACATCACTTACTTTTCACCATTTTTGTTTGACCCATCAAGATTAAAGATAATTGTCACAGCCTGCTTAAACTTCTGCGGTAACCCCATAAAATGACAGTCATGTCTGTACCAGTTCTTTCCTTCACTAGCAGCCTCCGTGCGAGACGTGATGCTAAGCTATGTGCTATGGTCTAAGCTATGACTTTGAGCTTGGGAAGATAATGAGTGTTGCATGAAGTCTGGTGTGTGCCCTGAAGGACATATGATGCTGGAGAAAACATAAATGTTTTTTGTAAAGATGAGACACCATGATGCATGTGGCAGCTATGGGGCAGCGCTGCAGGAAGGCGCTCCTCCTTCTGGCTAATATATTTTATGTCCTGCCATTGGCATGTGTTTCATTATTTTCCATCACTTATGTCTTGCCTTCAAGTATATGACTTGCTCTGAGGATATATTTTGATACTGAAAGATGCTCCTGGTTGCATTTCTGGAAGGTCTTGTGCCTGACAGCTATTGCAGGCCTTGGTCTTTCTATGTCTCATCTCCCCCTTTTATATTCCTTTTATTAGTGACAGTTTGCATGGTTCTCCACTATAGCTGCCAGAAGCTTGCATATGTTTTGATGGCAGATACTATACCAATATGCTACCAATGCTCTCTGTGGAATATTTCTTTAAATTGGCCTGCTATTTTTTGTTTATCTGAGGCTTTTTTTTTTCAGCTACATTCAATAGGCTTAAAAATAACAAATTTATCTGCCAGGTCAGCCTTTCTAKTTGATCGACTTGGCACCAGGATGAAGTAATTGGATTAAATTCCCAGACACAGAACACAACCTCACTACAAATAAACATCATGTTTGCAGTGAGAAAATAGTTTCGGCCTATGCCAAATTGCACTGGGCATGGTTCTTGCTTTCTGGAGACAAGCTTTTGTTCCCACATGGCCCTGATGTATTCTCAAATTACCTGGTCCTCTACCCAACATTATTTT